CATCAAAATCACCTTCAATTAGCGCTGCAACTTCATTGACACTTGGCATGTTGTAAGTGCGGCCTTCTGAGTGCCTTTTGCCGATGAGTTTCATTAAAAATAGTAAAAATAAACAACCGAAGCTCAAAAGTCGTCAAAAAACAAAATTGGAATATATACCTTGAATTCACACACGGGCAGTTGCAATAGTCCAGTCTCCTCGCCTGTCTCCGACTATCCTTTCGTCGGTTGGATTTCTGGAAACACAGGTAGTAGGACGGCAGGCACCGAGTTATCAGAAATAAGTGAACGATAAATATAGAAAAAGAAGAATTACAAAATACCTTGTGTGGAGCGAGAGTATGAACCACATCGATCTTCATCTGTATATTTGAACACAACTCCAATTCAATAAAACAAAATAAGAAAAGAAAGCAAAATAAAGAAGGGAATAGGAGATGGGTATAGGTGGATTCGGGCCGGGTCGGGCCCAGGCCGGGACTAGGCCCGGTCGGGCCGCCGGTTCGTATCATATGGGCCCGGGACCGGCCCGAGGGTTGGATGGGTCCGGTTCGGGCCGGGCCACCCGCCCGGGTCACGGGTCGGGCCACCCGCCGGGCCGGGCCGGGTCGGTTATTTTTTTTGTTTTTATAATTTATATTTTATACTTTATAGTTTTATACAAGTATTAAAAAACAAACTTCAAGTGCATTTATTTCAAGTGCATTTATTTGAAATGAAATAGGAACTACATTTGAAAATTAAATAGGAATTACAATTGTTTTTAAAACATGAAATACTAATCAATCATTCAATATTTCAATCGGAATCTCCGGCATAGGTAGAGCCACCCTCGGTTGTAGATTAATCCATAAAGTGTTGGGATGAGGTGATCTCAATTTCTTGAGCTCTACGGGCTGCTTTCAACCAATCGTGGTAGCATATAAGCATCTCAAGAGATTCAGCGCTCAACCTCGTTCTGGTTTGTGTTTGGACATTGCTGGCCGAACTAAATTCTTGTTCCACGGCAACCGTTGAAACCGGCATTGATTGCACTTGCTTAGCCATCTTTGCTAAAACCGGGAACATTCTCTCTTTTCTCTTCCACCAGTTTAGTACGTCAAAATCACCATCTTCTTCAAAATCAACATCATAAGTTAAATACAAAGAAATCTCATTAATTGTGCTTTGTTGTGTAGCGGGAGTTGATTTCGTTTTTTTAATAAGATTGGCAAACGTAGATTTGAAAATTGATTTTCCTTTAGATGATGTTTGTGTCGGGGGAGGGGCGCATTGCCATATTGTGCATGAAACTCATTGAATAATGCATAAAATATATCACTAACCTCGTTGTATTCTTTTTTCGGATCAATTGGGTTGTCCTCATACATTGGCAATGGACCAAAAAAAGCAGCATAATAATAATTCAAACATTCTTCTAAAGAACCAAGTCTAAAACGAGGATCGAGAACAAATGCAATACCATAAATATGCGGAATATGTGAATAATATTTTAAAAACTTTTCCTTCATAAAACTAGCAAAATAACTCACATAATCAGCATTCTCAAAATTTGAAAAAGCACTGGCGAGATTAACAGCTTCACGAATACATTGGTTTGAGGTAGGTTTATAAACATGACTAAAAGTTTCAGTTGCATTATTAAAATATATCAAAGCATTACAAATTTTTTCACAGGTGTCGATCTCAGTCGAGTTTATGATATAGTTATCATATTGTTTCATAAAAGCAGGAAAATGTTGTTTATATTTAAGAAGAACTCCAATTAACTTATAGGTACTATTCCAACGAATAGACAAATCTTTAGGAAAAGCCACATATCTCTCACCTCTTTCTATCAAATAATCATGCCATTTTTTCCTAAGTTGTCCATTACCCCAAATACGTCTAATCCCCCCCTTGACTACCTCCAACGATGCTCCCAACGCTTTTAGACCATCTTGCACACATAAATTTAGAACATGAAATGCACATCGTTGATGAAAAAATCTACCCATCAAAGAAGTAGAACCACACAATTCACGCAATCTAGGAATAACAGCAGTATTATTAGTAGCATTATCAAAACCAATAGCAAACACCTTATCAATTAAATTATACTCAATTAAAATACGCTCAATCAAAATATAAATATGTTCAGCAGTGTGACGATCATTAAATTCACGGAAAGCAAGAACACGTTTATGCATATGCCAATCATTATCAATATAATGTACAGTCAGACCCAAATAATGTAAATTATGATAAGTATCCTCCCATATGTCAGAACATACAGTAACACGTCCATCAAAGTTTGCAAAATAATTTTGTAACCTTACCTTTTCCGCACCATAAAGCCTTGAAATTTCTTTCTTAACCGTTTTGCGACTATAACCTCTATATTGCGGATTTAAACAAGTTTGTGCATAATCACGAAAAGCAAGACTTTCAGAAAAAAAATAAGGCAAATTTTCTTCAACAAGTAAGTTAGCCATACCTGTCAAATTTTGTGCATCATTGTATGAGAAATTACCAAAAGCTTGTTGGTTATTTGCAAACCTCGATATTTGCGTTTGCTTCCCCGTTCCGCCGCCTAATTTTGCATACTCCACCGGGTGTTTGGACTAAAGGTGTCTTGTGGCAGATCCGTATCCGCCGGAAATCCCCAAGCTATAGTTTTTCTTGCACCAATTGCAAGTTGCGGTCCAATTCCCGGTGTTCGGGTCCTTCCACTTAGAAAAAGTATTAGCCATTAATTCAGATTTACTTTTTTTTGTACCTGTTTGGGATGAGGCAGGTTGGTCGGCGTCATGGATGCCGCCACCCTCCTCCTCCTCGTCGTCGTGGCTCTCCGGAATTACTTCCTCCACATCGTCATCCTCGTCCTCGAGCTCTTCTTCGTCAATGGTCCTCGGTTGGTCTTGAAAAAAGCAGGAATTATGTTGGTGCAATTCTTGTTCTAGTTGTTCGTCGGTCATCGCATCCCCATCCCTCCTTGCGTAACCCGTATCAAAATCATCTCGACTTTGAGATGAAGAGCCGATATGTGATTTACCTTTGCAGGATCTCTTCCTCGCAAGCTCTTTCGTTCGGTTGCGCTCGAGGTTACCCATATCAATCGAATATCTAGGACGATCCATCTAAAAAATGTAGCGATTAATAAAAAATTGTAAAAAAGTAATTAACTATTTATCTAACTATTAATTCGAGTTATAGCAAATTAACTAGTGAATTAACTAGTTTTGTGTACAACATATTTTTTTAAACTAGAGTCAAATGACTCAAATGTAGCAATTAATAAAAAATTGTAAAAAAGTAATTAACTATTAATCTAACTATTAATTCGAGTTATAGCAAATTAACTAGTGAATTAACTAGTTTTGTGTACAACCTATTTTTTTAAACTAGAGTCAAATGTAGCAATTAATAAAAAATTGTAAAAAAGTAATTAACTAATTATCTAACTATTAATTCGAGTTATAGCAAATTAACTAGTGAATTAACTAGTTTTGTGTACAACATATTTTTTTAAACTAGAGTCAAATGTAGCAATTAATAAAAAGTTGTAAAAAAGTAATTAACTATTTATCTAACTATTAATTCGAGTTATAGAAAATTAACTAGTGAATTAACTAGTTTTGTGTACAACATATTTTTTTAAACTAGAGTCAAATGACTCAAATGTAGCAATTAATAAAAAATTGTAAAAAAGTAATTAACTATTAATCTAACTATTAATTCGAGTTATAGCAAATTAACTAGTGAATTAACTAGTTTTGTGTACAACATATTTTTTTTACTAACAATGAAATTAATACACTTTAACTTTAACTATAATTAGAATTACAACTAGTTTTTTAAACTAGAGTCAAATGTAGCAACTAGCAATTAATAAAAAATTGTAATAAAGTAATTAACTATTAATCTAACTATTAATTCGAGTTATAGCAAATTGTACAACCTAATTAACTAGTTTTTTTTTTCAAGTAACGTTAATACAAAATTAAACAAGTGTAAATAATAGAATAATTTCGTACCTCTTTCGGACTTTCGGTCTTTCGGATGGGAGTAATAGAATGACTTCAAATTAATTAGATATAATTCCAACTATATTAATAGATATAATAAATATATAAGTAATATATAATTAGATAACAAATATAAGTAATATAATACTATTTATATCTATTTATAGTTTATATAAGTAGATAATTAATATAAACTATAAATAATAATATAATATATTGGAGAATGGAGAATAAGAGAATTAGAGAGTAGAGAGTTAAGAATAGGATTTAGGAAGAATTGGAGAAGAGATGAAAAAATGTTTAAGATTAGGAGTATTTATAGGTTTTTTTACCCCCCACCACCCAACCCCCCCCCCCCCCCCCGGACCCCCCTGCACCCCACCCAACGGCTATATAGCCGTTTGGGTTGTCCCCAGCCCACCCATAACGGCTAGAAAGATTTGAGAGAAGGTGGCACCCAAGGTCCGAACATGGACCTCCTCCTAGACTGCAGCGGAGAGTAAATTTCTATTCTAATAATGCATTTGTTTTTTTGGATGAAATGTAAATATATATTAACACCCAGAAAAATATACATCAAAAAGTTCTAGATCTCCTAAAACCTCCCCCACCCTTACCTAGTGTAGGGGTTATGAGAGGTTTTTATTCGATCTTAATCAAAATCAAAATGGGCCTAAGTATACAATACTAAATGCCCCTAAACCTCAAAAACCAATCGGTGCTGCAAGGTGCACGCACACAGAACATCAAAATACATTTATCCGAAGAAAATGCATGGCCAAGAGGAGGTTATAATGCACACTCCCCTTAGTCAAAAAAGAAAATCATGGTGTTGCAAGGTGCACACATACTCGTCCCAAAGAGATGATGCCTCGGCTTCGAAGAGGAGACAACATCAACCAATTAAAAGTTGACCATGTCGTGTGGGTATAAGCTATATAGGATCTTATACACCACGTGCTTGATCTTAACAATCACATCTTCTTATGTCTTCGAACCTCCATCAAATCGTATCTCATTCCTCGCATGCCAAATGTAGTAGACCGCGACGCAGAATGCTAGACGGGCAGCCTTGGCCTTCATCGTTGATCCCTTGTGCGTCTTCATGATCCACTTAATTGAACTTGGTAATGTTGTCATTTGACGTCCCATCTCAATCCAATCTTTGATTCCATCCCATACCCTACAAGAAAAAGGGAAAAGAAAAAATAGGTGTGGAATTGTTTCCAATCCACCCTTGCACAAGTCACACCTATTAACCATATGTAGGTAACCGAGACTATCCTGAGTGGGCAGCCGGTTCCTCAAGCCCAACCAAACATTAAATGAAAAATTTGGGGGGATGTAGGACTTCCAAATGAAGCTCATTGGAGTCCTAGTGGTCCTCTTTACTCGTAGAAGCTCATAGATCTTGGCCGATACTAGTTTCCCATTGATACTCCTAGCATTAAGGCCAATAATGGTTTCATTTAAATTATTAAAGCACCCTCGTATTTTGTCCCGTATTTGACTCAACCTCTTCATGAGTTGTGAGTCACGGCCGTGTGGGATAAAATCCCACACACTTCTACCCTTAAGGTATACGCCATTAACCCAACGAACCCAAAGAGTATCTTTCTTCTTGTGTACGTCCCAGAGAGTGCGTGAAAGGAGGCTATCGTTTCAAGTTCGGGAACTATGAATACCTAAACCCTCTTCCTCTTTTGGAAGATATATGTCATCCCAAGCCACCTTCGCAAACTTTCCACCCCACAAAAACAGTCTACATATTGACACTATCCTATCCGATATGGTTTGCGGAACCGGGAAGATTTGGAGCCAAAATGATTGGACCCCTTGGATCACCGATCGAATTAGCTCGATTTTACCGGCATATGATAGTGTTTTCGTATTCCACGCATTAAGAAAATCCTTGACCATGTTGAGTAGGGGTGCATATTGTGCAATCGATACCTTTAGCGGGGCAAGTGGTATTCCAAGGTATCTTACCGGGAATATTCCTTGCCCATAGTCGACAATGTTTAAAATGTTTTGTAGCTCTAGGTCCTTCACCCCTCCCATTAAAATATTCGATTTTTCGTGGTTAACCCTTAGGTCGGATGCCTCTCCAAACTCTTTGAGAGCATTGACCAATATGTCTATGGAATACGTGTCGCCTCTCGAGAATAGCATAAGGTAATCGACATATTCCAAATGGGTGATGCCCAATGTTGAAGATCATCAGGGATTATCACCCAACGTGGAGCATTGTGGGTGGTAATTAAAATTCCCCCCTTTGGTTCTCACGGTGAGTAACCGGGAGAAATATTCAAGGCACAAAACAAAAAGCAAAGGGGACATTGGATCCCCTTGCTTAATTCCACGTTTGCCTTTGAAAAATCCGTAAAGCGATCCGTTTAAAGAAACCGAGAAGGAGGCAGTGGACACACACTCCATAATCCATGCAATAAATCTATCGGGGAAGCCCAAACCCCTCAAGACTTTGTCCAAGAAATCCCATGAAATCGTGTCGTAGGCCTTTCGCAAATCTACCTTAATCATACATCTCGGTGAGATTCGCTTCCTATTGTATCCTCTAACAAGTTCCTGGGCTAGGAAAATGTTATCAAACATTAGGCGGCCATCTACGAAAGCTCCTTGGGCTTGATCAATCAGTCCCGAGAGACACGGGGTTAATCGAGCCGCAATTATTTTTGTGATAATTTTATACAATACATTCGTGCATGAAATAGGTCTATAGTCCGACACTTTTGGGGAGTGATTAGTCTTAGGGATAAGTGCTGTAACAGTATGATTGATCTATTTAAGCAACTTACCCGTTAGAAAAAACTCCTTAATCGCTTGTCATCCCCAATAAAACTCCAATTGGCCTTAAAGAAGGCCGAGGTAAACCCGTCCGGCCCCGGTGCCTTGTCATCCCCAATATCAAACAAGGCATCTTTAATTTCCTTGTTTGTAACCGGAGCAAGTAGGCTATCATGAACACTTGGTTCAATCAAAGGACCGGTTCATAAACCAACGTGTCAAGGGGTAGGTTTACCTCGATAGTACCAAATAAATCCACAAAATTTTTTACAAATTCATCTCCAACTTGATCTAAGGAAGTAGTAAGACTACCGTCCTCCAAAGCTATGGAAGATATGGCATTCCGCGTGACGTTCCTCTTCACAATAGCGTGAAAATATCTTGTCCCTTTGTCCGCCTCGAGAATGTGAGTGGCCTTTGCTTTTTGTTGGTAGAAGCTTGTTTCGGCTTCTGCAAAAAAGTAGCCTTTTTCCTAGCAGCCTCCACTTGCACTTTTAAGTCATCATCCAGGGGCGAAACCAGCCACAATTTATTTAATCTTTTGAATTCCTCCTTTGCTCTCTTAGCTTTCATCGATATATGCACATATTCCATTGCATTGAGGTTCTTTAGCGGCCTTTTGAGCAACTTTAGCTTCCTCACAATTGAGAACTGGGTTGTACCATCAATGAATTGGCTCCAACTCTGTGCAATTATGTTAGAAAAATCACAGTGCTTGATCCACATATTAAAAAATTTGAAGGGTTTCGGCCTAAGAGAGGAATTATTGAGTACTGATATTATGGAAGTCGTATGATCAAACTCAACCTCCATTTCATGGAAATGGGCCTTACAACTAATTCCAAAATGCCCCCACACATCATTAAGAAGCACACGGTCAAGCTTAGCCCAAAGATTTCCTTTGTTCCATGTGAAAAATTCCCCGGTAGATGGGGCATCTTCTAGGCTAGCTCGAACTTTAAAATCAAATAAATGTTTCATTATATAGGCCGTGGGTGGGCTTGGCCCAACCCTCTCATTTGGAGCACAAATGCAATTAAAGTCACCCGCAATTAGCCAAGGTTCAGTAATGCCATCCCCAAGCAAAGCAAGATATTCCCACAGTGCCTTGCGCTCCAATACGGTGTATAGTGGATATACAAATGTAGCAACACAAGACAGTTGAGTGATGCGGCAAACACATTTTACATGTATAAATTGCCCCTCAATCTCGTTGATAACACAATGCAAAAAATTCAGATTCCACATGATGGTCATTCGGCCACCCTGTATTTTATTAAAATTATTCTCACCATGCCACCCCGGCCATTTATTTAAAAGATAGTTATTAAAATTGGCCGCAGTCATTTTAGTTTCCGAAAAACAACACAAGTTCACATTATTAGAGTTAATAAGGCTAGAAATTAAATTATGCTTTGAGGTTTTATTCAAACCTCTAACATTCCAAGCAAGGATCTTAATCATCAAGAGAGATAGAAATCCGAGGTGTAGCCGTCATTCCCCGGTTGAACTTCCTCTTTTTCCTTACCCCGTGCTGCCTTTCTCTTTCTCCTTTCCATTTCTTTGAGGTATTTCTTGTTGGCAGCGGTATTGGCATCAAAAAAATTAAAAACATCATTAGTAAAAATCAAATTATCAAGCTCATACCAATCTTTGGTCTTCTTAACCGTTGGGAGAGAAAGCAAGCATGATTCGGTGAAGAAAATACCCGGTTCCTCACAAGACACCCATTGGAAGTCGAATCCCATTTTTACCACTTTCACCTTGTTTGGTATATCATCTTGTTGGGATATTGATCCAGAGGCCCAATACCCGGATAAAACAGGCCCAGGATACCCGGCCCAAACGATGAGTCCATTACCCTATGATGAGCAGGCCCAGTGAAGAATTCACACCGAACGAGGTTCGGTCCGAGTAAAGGCCGGCCCAGAAAGGAGAGATACCGAACGGAGTTCGGACCATATATCATACTTGGGCCAATTTGACATTGTCATTTGCAAGGTCCAACATCCCGTTCGAGCAACGGGCAACCAGTAAGTGACCAGATGCAATTAATGCCAGATTGTGACATCAGCAAATGGAAACATGGGTGATAAAGTCGGTGGAACAACGGCCAATAAGCATAAAGCAGCCCATGCTCTCCATTAGTATAAATAGAAGGTTTAAAATCATTGTAAGAGTTAGCATTTCAATACTCAAGCTCTAGAATAGCATTATTACTCTTGTTTCCTGTAGTAAAGCACTGTTCCGACCTACCGATCGGGAAGTTTCCTTGTAATCAGACAGGTTAATTAATACAAATGGGCTTTTGGGTATTAGTGAATTCATATTTTATATTTTGTTATACACTTTGATTCTGGTCCATTCCTAATATATCCAAAGTTCGTGTTGGGCTTTCGGATCTACGGGACTTACCTTCAACACATCCAAAGGCATGATAGAGACCACTCTTTTCTTCCTTTCGTCCAAGAATACACCGGTAACAACGCCATCAAAATTCATTTGATGCGTGTTACGGATCAAGTGCCCTTCCGGCTCAACCACGGCATCTTGTGTGATCTCTTGACCCGTAATTGGATCCCTCCATGGCAGCAAGGTATAGGCCTTGGTTTCTTGCGGTTTCGAGGCTTCGGAAGTGCTTGCACCAGCCCCCTTGGTTTGCGCAAAGTCCTTCGCAGATTTGTCAACAAGTTTGGTCCGTTCCATAGCTTGCAAGTACTCCTTGTTATGCCTAGAATGCACATCAAAAAAACAAGCAACATTAAGGATAAAAATTTGCCTATTAATAGCGTACCAAAACCTTGCGCGTTTGACCCCCGGGAGAGATACAAGGCATGGATCCGTGAAGGCAATAGCTGGTGCATCCTTGTGTGCTTCCCGTTTTAGATCCATCCCAACTCTAGCAACGGAGATGATGCTCTTTATTTGGTACCGCTTTTTAACCCACGCTTCATGCCTTCCATCTTCCTTAGTTAAGAACTTAGTAACAATGTCATCCGCTTCCATATCATGCACACTCAATATGTGCCGGCCCTCCCATTCAAAGTCACCATTGGTGTATTTGCTCTTTGGATCGTCAATAGCTTTGGAAAGGAAATCCGGCAGTTTGAAAGAGTTTGTGTTCCTCGGCTTTACCACTTGGAAAGAAGGTTTAATAGCTTTGCCTTTGTCATCCACTTTGCTCGGTTTTTCATTTTTGTTCACCAAAGGGACTGTTTTTCCCTTGGCCGTGCCTTCCTCCATCTTCTTTGGCGGGTTGAGGACATTGCAAGTAAAGTAGTGATGGCCAAATTTTTTGCATTGGCAGCAATAACTTGGATAGGTCTCATAGATAACCCTTTGCAAATATTCCTTGCCCGAAGGAGGAACAATCGGAAATTGGAGCACCGGAGGTTTGGAGGCATCAATTTCAATAAGGACCCGAGCAAAACTAGTATATGTTTTCTCTTGGGTTACCTTGTCGGTGGTGATTGGGACTCCCACCATTGATGCAATTCGGCCAATCTCATTGGCTTCCCATAATCTCATAGCAAGTCGGGGGAATTTTACCCAAGTTGGTACCTTCAAGAATTCGTCACTCTCCGTAGAGAAATCTTCCGATAGCTCCTTTAGGAACATAGACTTCCCAAATAAGATATATGGCCCCTCGGATAGAACCTTGGTGCGGTCATCCTCACATAAGAATTTAAAGATGACCCACCCTTTTCTATGTGACTTAACTTGGACCTCAACATTCCTACTCTTCGTCATGGTGTATATAGCTTTTAGGCCCGGAAACCGACCCGAAAAGTGCCCCACCAAGCAATAGCCCCACACTTCAATGAGAGTAGGAACTTTTAAGTGAGAAAAGTACAACTTTTCACCGGTGGGTGGAAAGTATTCGAGCTTTAATCTGAAAGAAGGAGCTCGGTTATTATGGAATAGGGATGTGGAAGTGTAATGCACTTCTCAATTGGAGATGTCCTTAGGCATCTCAACTGAAATGGCTAACAAATGTTGGTCAAATATTACAAAATGGAGAGAGTTCATTCGGAGACCTCTCTAATGGAAAAAGTAACAAAAGAAATCACAGAAATCTGTTTAAGTCTGGTCTTGTCTGTTTAAGTCTTGTCTGGTCTGATTTGTATTTTATAACTACGAAAGTGATCTGGTATGATCTGTTTAAGTTTGATCTGGTCTGTTTAAGTCTGGTCCCTCTCATTGGAGATGCTCTTAGTATGAAACTATGAATCAAAGATCGCAAATTCGCAATCATCTTGAACTGACTTTTACGAGCAATTCACACCATGCTAGAATTGGCAATTTGGCAGGTCATAATCACAATGAATTAGCTACAGAATTTGGAAAGTGTCTCTATACTCTAGAAGTAGTCATATAGAACTTCAAATTTCTTTTGATATTATTACTTTTGGCCTTGAAGAACCTTTGACCTTACGTCCTTACAATCAATGAACCAAATGTTGCCATAATTTTGAAGTGAATTTCATGGATTCACATACAGAACTAGATTTGGTACGTTCAATCAATATCGACAGAGCCCTCAGCAACCCTTCAAGTACTTTCCATCTCATCCAAATATACGGTTTAGTATTGCTGCCAAACGCACCCCAGCTTGAGCTAGCCGCAGTTGGACAATTGGTAAGCGTGTTGAGAAGTAGTCATCTGCAAAAAAAATCCGCCATGTATTAACATAGTCTTCTACTCTTAAATTTTTTGATATATTATGAAGGGTATTGATGTTTTGGCTTTTTGTGTTTGATTTTATATTTAAAAGTGAACATACATTTAGACGTTTTGAGTTAACCTGAAGAATGTAAGTTGAGTTTTGATCAAACTCTGATGGAAAGAATGTTGGTTCTATTTCAAGGCATTTCTTGGAGTTGAACTTGGGACCTCTTCTTTGTGGCACCCTCTTCCTACGAGGTCAGCTACGCCGCTCGGTAACTTATGGCCAATCTCGAAAGTTTGTATGCTGTTGAGTTTAGCACAAGGCTAATAGACTCTAATATCATATTACCATTTGATATTTTATTTTGAAATCTCATTGGATCACTAGTCTAAGACCTTATATTTGTATTCTTTTGGTGCATGACTAGTGAGGATAATTTAGCATAGTAGTTTTTAGTCAATTGAAATACATAAATAAATGTCATATTGAACATAAGAAAAATATTTTTTAATCACCCATTGAAATGCAATCTCTCTCTTTTAATTTTTGCAAAAGTTCCTCAACTTTGTTAAATAAGTTGTGACTTTAGTTCTTTACGTTTTTTGCTATTCCGTGATGTGGCAATCTCCGTGGAAATATAGTCCCTTAGTCGTGCAACATATTGCGAATATCATCTCTTAACTTCATAATATGTTCTAAATACAGTCTATGTTGTTAATAATGAATATCATCTCTTAACTTCATAATATGTTCTAAATACAGTCTATGCTGTCATTAATGAATATCATCTCTTAACTTCATAATATGTTCTAAATACAATTTATGCTGTTAATACTGTAGGCCGTTTGATATATTGTTAACAGTGGGGACTACAAGTACGATATGTTATATATTTAAAAGACCACATTTACAAATATTAAAAGACAAAGACTACATTTCGAATAAATCAAAGACCAAAAGTGCGAGTTTTCCTTGAAAACATTTGTATATTTTAATCCTTGGGATCTTGAATTTTCTATTTGAAGCCTATTATTAGAGCAGAGGGCCAAGAAAATGCAGATATACCTCCCAATACTGAATTATCTTCCACTCCTTTGTATGCCCAATCACATGCTGCTTCAATACCCTCAGATGCATATCTGTGCAGAAGATGCTTTTATTATATGCTGGAAGTGGAAACTACACAAAATGGATTCACCCAATGCACTGACTTAATTTCTGAAGAACTCCCATGTTATTTTTCCCTTATCACTTATCAGTGTGTTATGTTGGACCACATTAATTAACATGAAAGTGTGTTTAGTGAGCTTACACATCTGGGCAGGCTTCTTTCCCATTGGAGCATGCCTCCCATGACTTCACTTTACTTGCCCATCCAGTCTGTCAAGTGGAGAACACATCACAAGCTAAGAAATAGAGATAAAGAACAATTTGTATTACTACTTCCCTGCAAACTAGATGTTTTGTTTGAAAAAATATACTCCCTCAGTCTCATTATCTTTGACTGTCTTCCTTTTTATGTACAATTTTCTCATATTTATTTGTTAATAATGTAAGGTTTTAATTTTCCATTACTTTGTTCATAATTTGCTAATTCATATCAAACCTAAAGTTCTACCTTACTAAATAGGAAGAAGGTACAAATATACCCTGAAATATATGGTTGAGAACAAATATACCCCCTCGGTTTCTATTTGAAACAATTAACCAAATAATTGTAAAGTTACAATAAATATACCCCTCAATTGCAGAATTGAACAACATCAACATCATCATTACCCCAGTGCCGCAAAGACTCCACCTGCGGTGGAGTAAGGGAGGTTGGATGTAAACAGCCTTATCCATGTACTAAAACACAGAGAGACTGTTTCTGGATGATCCAAAGTGAAAAACAAAACTAGGCATGGAACCAGTTCGATTCTCATAAGAAATTAGTGGAACCGTTACAAAAAACTTAACTAATCAAATCGGTTAGGTTCCTATCTAAAATTTCATGAACCGTTATGGAACCGAACCAATAGTAAACAATTCGGTTCTTACTTTTATCGATTCCTAAGCATAAATTTTTTTCATAAAAAATTAACGCAATTTACTTTCTACAACGCAAAGACGTCGAGAATTCAAAACACAACCAATAAGTACCGTTTGAAGCTTTTATCACTTCAAACATCAAGTCCAAAGTTAATTTATTCAACACTTAATAGAATGAAATAACTTTTGAGTTTTGTTTGTAAATAAAATATGAAAATTGTTGTTGTTTGATATCAATAAAAGTTGGATCATCACAATAGAATAAGACGTCTAGTTCAAGTTCTCAAAACGTAAAAAAAAACGTATTGAACCCACAAGTAGAAATATAATTATCATTACATTTCAAATCCTAGGAACATTATTTACACTTAATCACACAATTACAATCATCTTGAATATTATATAGAAAATATATCGAACCAACACGAATTATTTTGGTTTAGTTTAATAATTATGAAATCTTCATGATGGAACAAAATATTATTTGTAAAACAAATGGGGTTAATGTTTTCATCCTCATCTGCTTCCATCAATTAAATTTAAATTGTTGTGTGATTAGATGTAAATCATGTAATCGATTATATTATTATTACTATTATTGTTACTATGATTATTGTTATTGTTAATGTTATATAATTATTATTGTTGTTATTAACTTATTATTACTAGTTGTACTTTCAATTTTTTTAATGACGGTTTCGTAGACATTTTTATGTATGAATCGGGAACTGAACCGTTAACAATGAATAAGAATCGTATCATTAACAATTTATTACTCATTTGTAGGAACCGAACCGGATTTTAACGGTTCGGTTCCAATGGTTTTCCAGTTCTTGGTTCCAAAGTTCCACCCCTATGAAAAACGCATTGAAAATTGCATGGACTAACTGGTGCTTCATAAAAAAGAAACGCAAACAGTTTAATGAGTCATTTTACTTTATTCCATCATATTTTCAAGCCAAAAAATAGTGAAATTTTTGCTCGATTGCAAATGATGGAATAAATTTAAAAGGAAATGATCGAATAAATTGTGTTTAATTGTTTAATTAAACAATTAAACAAATAAGTAGTATGATTTTAGATTTTTAAATTTTGGCAAAAGTACTTCACCCTTCCAAAAGGAAAGGAAAGAGAAGACAGTTTAAGGAAGAAACATTTAATTATTTTGAGACTGAGCGAGTAATATCTAATTATTTACCGAGATATTCTTCTCAATTGCATCAATCAGTTCTTCAACTTGGGAATCATAGAGTTGCTCTTCAGCTGTCTCAATAATGCTGGTATCCCATACCTGTGAGGTTGAGATTTTAAATAATGTATGCATATGTAAGGGGGTAGATTGAGTAGAAGTAGTGGTCAGCTAGCTGCTCACATGGTGGAGATTTGTTTTCCTAGTGTACCAGTGGACATCAACTGTGTTTCCTCCCTTGTCTGTGGTAAATCCAACATGCAGAGGCTGCATTTCAAATGCCAGATAAATCAAACTGTGATCAAATCGGATGAGTTCTGAGATATGTGTAATTTATATACTTAATAATGGCATGTGGATTGATTTACCTGATGAATGTCACCAAGAAAATGAGATAGAAAGAGCAGTGCTTGTGTCGCATTATCTGTTGAAGATGATGCCAATGCATATGGTCAAAACAAGAAACATACTCCATATGTAGGTCATAATTTCTGGAGAATCTATTTCATTTCCTAATTTATCATATTGTTACTTTAATTTCATTTAAGCAAGTATACAATGATTGTGAAGCAAAAGTCGGTCTATGTATTTTTTGACGCGATTTTCACTCTGGGTCATTCGAAAACAGTAGGTGAGAAGCCTTTGCGGTATTGG